TAAGAGTAAACCTGAAGGTTTTTGATGAGTAATAAAGTCCATATTTTATATTTTTTTACAACACAAATTTTTTACTTTTTTTTTAATATATATTTTTTTTAATACTAAAAATAATGTTTAAATTTTATTTTTAATATTTAAAATATTAAAATTTTTTTTTTTTACCTCTATATAAATTACACAAAATCATTTGATTGACATTTTATATTTATTTTATTTTATTTATGAATAAAATTTAAAATAAAAGTTGAAGGGCACAGGGGTAAAAGCAGACATGTCACATTTTGCAAGTTTTGAGAAAACCCATTTTAAAAGTTCAAACACTCCTCAATGATCAAAGATACAGAATACAAAGTTGAGATTCTGCATACAGCAAGCCGAACCAATATCATTGCTATAAATGATAAAGTTTGTACATTTTTTTATGACCGTTGGGATTTAAACTAAAAAAATCACACAAGAGGTGGTTTTGTGACATGTCTGTTTTTTCCCCTGAATCCAAAATATTCCAAAATAGGCTAAGCTTTATTCTCCAGATATACTCATAATGCTATGGGACGCTTAAACAATGACATTAGAAGCCATATAAATCAATCTTATACATATTTTCATGCATTTGTGATCGGTCTGCTTTAAATTAAAGTTATCATAGCGAGTACTGGGATTTTAGTGTGTACACGTACACTTTATTCCAAAGTGATAGCGAGACATTTTTTGTAATAGACAGAAAGCTTAATTTCATGACAACTGCACAACATACACAAACAGCACACAAGAACAAAGTAGGAAAAATAAAACAAGCTACAGTTGCAATATAAAAATGAAACAAGGGATTCAACATAACAAATTCAATCCTCATTCTCCGACAAATCACTGAGTTCATGACCTGGGTTCACTCTAGCAGTGTCTGATCCACTATGAGGGAGCTCATCGAAGAACTGATGATTTGTAGGGCTGCAAAACCTTTTCAATACTTGAAGGTCTTTATACTTTTCTGAGCTGATGGGCAGAGGACCATTTTCATACAACTTTGTAAGGACAGACATCTGTGGCTGCTTCTTCCCACGCCGAGTCCGTGTTTTTTTTAATACAGCAGACACAAACCCACCATTCCAGGAATCCCTGTAGAGAATAAGCAATGGACGAGAGTCCAAAATGTGAATCTCCCTGACTGGGCGTGTCTTTATAGGGCATACGGCTTTGAAGGAAGGTCGAAAGTACTTTGTGTAGGCGAAGAACATGTCCTGTGTAGCCCTGATGATCGTGAAAGGTGTTGGACGTGATCGGGCAGTTGCAAATTCTGCTAACCAGTCCTCTGGCAAGTCTACATTCTTTGTCATGTTGACGTTGCTAAAATCTCTATTGCACTCCATGTAGGAGTGGCCTCTTATCGGAAAGGTGATTTTCACCAACTTGAATCTCTTGCGTTCATGTACCTGATTGTATAAGAACCTAATCATTGTGTAGTTTTTATTTTGACCACTACACCCATTGCAGAAGAAACTGATTTCGTCCACGGATTCAGAAATGTGGCTGCGGATGAAGTCAGCAAGAAATGAACAAATGTCGTCAGTACCCTTTTTTGCTACTGTTTCATCATATGTATACATATACACTTCATCAGTTGATAATACATGGATTACAAACGTATACAGGCTGAGCTGTCTGCGATAGTAAACGTCATTGGTGGACTTGTTTGGCACTGGTAGGTTTTTGGCAAAGTCAAAGCAGATGGCTTCAAACTTGTCACATTTTCTTGCCCTTTCCTTAGCTGCAGCTTTCCTTGCGTAGAATGTGCTGGCCTTGCGTTTGTGCAGCTCGTGGTTCGTGAGTAGTTCAGTTTTTTTGCTGTTCAGACCAGCAACATCTCTACCATTGCTTTCGGCATTGGCGATGTCACCATCCACATGCTGCAACTTCACGATGAATTCGTCACATGTGGAACAAGTATCCTTCCGTGGGTAACCAAATCCAATGTTGAATTTTGTGTTAAACAGTGTCCTGTAGGATTCATAGCTAATCTGCGAAAAAAAAAGAAAAAGTAAATAAAGAAAAAAATATATATATATCACATTATCATATATAGCTTTGAAAAAAAGGTGTTGAATTTCTAAAACGAGGCAATAGAAGAAGAATTTGAGTTATCTGATCAGTGTTAAAAGATTCTAGATTGTCAACTTTGATTTATTTTTATAAATTTTTACATTCATTGTGTCATTAATAGTCTTTAAAATATCTAATCAAAATTTATTATATCTAATTTATTTGTAAGTAATCTTTAAATAATGTTAAAAATAAAGGAATTAAATTAATTCAAGTTATTTGGTGTAGTGTGCTTTATATATACACAAAGTATGAGAGTTTTTAGAAAAGCTTACATTTTCAAGCTCGTAGCAAAATTTTGTAATAATATGCCCTGATAATATAAATAAATTAAATTAAAATAAAAGAAGCCAAACCCAACAGATGCTGTGATGGGTTTGATATGTAAATTTAGCTGCAATTAAAAATTAGTATTCGTACATGCACATATAGTAGCTTCAAAATATCCTCTATTTCAATGTCACTGACATAAAAACATACACAAACCTTGGTTTCAGGGTGAACTGACACAAACATCTGATGCATTTTGGCGACATTTAAGGTATCTGGAAGGTACAACTTTCTTGTCTCCCCCATTGCATAGTGACTGTGTCTGCCCCGGAAAGATGATATGTGGCCACACACCAGTGTTACTGTTTTATCTGTCAATTTGTGTGGCCTGTTGTTATGCTTTCCTCTTCCATCTTGTGGTGCATGACCTGCGAGGAAAAAACCCACACAATATGAAATAAAATTGACAGAGGAAAGTTGATAGTTTGGGGTAGGAAGATGGCATATGGTAGAAGAAAACATAGTAGAGGTATCAATGAACGACAATGAAAACTGCACATTACTAAGTTTGCTGTAACAAAGATTTGTATGAGAAATCAAATTCACCTTCTGTTTGTGCTTTTTAAAGCAAGACATAACATCACTATTAAATCCATAATAATATTAATAATAATAATAATAATAATAATAATAATAATCTTTATTTCCTCCATAAATTAAAGATCATAAATTAAAAAGAAGATGAATAATAATACTTATACATGATTTTTTTTGTATAAGCAACTTAGAATTTTGGTCAGAACTCGAGTTGCTTATTTTTCAGCCAATTTCTATATCTCGAGTTGCTTAATGGTTGCTTAATGGTTGCAAATTATCTTCTTTTTCCTTCTTACTACCAACTCACCACGATGACAAATCTTTTTGGTAAAACCAAAGTTGAACAAATTTGTCTGCTTTCTCTTACTCATGATCTTAACAGCGTTGTCAACAACATACACAACAACACTACTGTGATTACTTTTTTTTGAAATCGTTTATCTAAAAGAAGTCATTACGTTGCAGAGAAAAAAATTGCAATATATGAGTTGCTTATGTTAACATTTTTTCAGAACTGAAGTTGCTTAGTATTTTTTTACATCGAGTTCAGTTGCTTATAAACGAGTTGCTTATACAAAAAAAATCGTGTATTCACACAAATTCACACAGATCACATAAAAAAAAATAAAAAAAATAACAACAATAATAATAGATCTAGTAATAAAAACAAAAATGATAATAACAATAATAATAACAATAACAATAATAATAATAACAATAATAATCTTTACTAAAATTATAAATTGTATTATTCAAATCAACAACAAATTAAAAGCACTAATTCCAATTCCTACTCACCTGTTAATGACATTGCTTTGCGGACTGTTTCTACACGGTTTTTTGTGATGCCGAAGAGCGAGCAAAAGGCTTTCACACACACTGCCACTGGTTCCACTGATGTTCCTGTTGATACCTTTACGACATACTTAACACTCATCTCTTTAGGTTTATAAGAATTTTCGTCTGCACCTTCCCTACACCTACGTTGTTTTACAGGGAGAACTACTACCATTGTAGACAGATAAGCATCTTGGCTGTCTTTGCTTGAGTATGCGTTGAAGCCCTCAATAAGTGATTGTCTTGCAGCTTCACTTATCTGTTCAAAACACTTTAGACGGCTGCATTTGCAATCCTCACCTGTTGTGTGATTTTTTATGCGTTTAATCTTTGCCGCATCTTTTTTCCTTCCATTAATTTTTCGCTTTCGAGGCGTTACAGTCACAACTGGTCTGTCAAAGCAATCCGCCATTTTGCACGCACTTTGTTGTTATACCAAAGCTAAACGCTGATTGGCTGACCTAGTAATGTGAATCGACATCACATGACTCAGCGGGGACATGTCTACTTCTTCCCCTGTACAGTTTGGACATGTCTGGTTTTTCCCCAGATGGCTATAATTTTAAATGCTAAATGCTCGAGACTTTGCTGGTTTTTCGGTTGGACAACATAATAGGATGTAACTTTGTGTCGGGCTCTATGTAGCAAGGGAAAAAACTCAATATATGAAATTTTTGACATGTCTGCTTTTTTCCCTGTGCCCTTCAGTTGTCAATTGCTTAAATTATAATTTGACACTTTTCAACAAAGTTTGATGAAAATATATGTTTGTTTTTTTATTTCATATGACTTTTCAACAAACTTTGACGAAAAACAACCAACTTAATATTTGCTCTTCTAACATTTATTTTTTTTCAATGAAAAAATTAAAAAAAAACATTTGTGTCATTTGTAGTATGACATTTTTCAACAAAGTTTGTTGAAAACGTATAAATATTTTTAATTACTTATGACTTTTCAATAAATTTTGTTGAAAATTTAGTAAAGTAAATATTTATTTTTGCTTGAATGTTCATAAGCATATAAAAATATTTACATTTTAAAATAAAACATTCCAGCAAACAATTATTTTTAATTTAAATGGAGGGCATAGAAAATATTCATATATATATACAAAATTAGTTTAATTTAGTATATAATTGAATAATTTCTTAACTATAAAAAGTTACTAAATGTTTACAAATCTGCCATAGGTTGCTGAAGAGATTCGTCATTTAATTGACTCGCATGTTCAACCTATTCCAGCAGTCCTAGAGATTCCATCCAAGGATTGTCCTTATGATTCTTCAAAAGATTCTATATTAAAAAGAGCCAAGGTAATAAATTTCCAAAATTACATTATGGTTCCTCATTTGTGAGTTTTCAATTCGTGCTTATGTTAAAAAGTTTTAAATAGTTTTTAACATAAGTATATCAATAGATTATTCTAATGTATAAATTGAAATATTTTTAATTATATATAAATAACAAATAAGTGTAAACATGTAAATAATTATTTATAAATAAATAGTTATTATGAAAATGCCAGTATTTGCATAAAAGATGTTAAGTCAGTGGAATTAAGGAAGAAACTGAAATAAGAGATTTCGTCGCGTTGGTTTGACAAAGTTCTAACTGTTTTTTTTTATATTAGAAGAAAAGCAAATAAATCTTTTTTTCTTTTTTTTTAATATTTAAATAAAAATATTTATATAATCATTTTTAATTTATGTATTTTTATACATCAACCGAAAAAAGAATATATAAACAAATATAAAAGCAATAATATAATTAGTTTTAATTAAAAATTAAAAAGATATTAAAAGATTTTTTCTAAATTCTCCTAATATAAAAATTTTCAGTTTGAACCTTGTCAAACCAACGCGAGGATTTGCTGCTTAGAGATTTTTTATAATAAATCAAGATACGCTCAGATCAAAATCATTTTTTTGGACGTTGTTAACACTGTATTACTAAAGTATCTTTATTTTTGACTTTTTGTTCGACATATTTTTACTTGGGTGCGATTTAAATTATTAGTATTTTTATTTAAATGAACTGTAATGACAGATCTGTAAAATAAATCAATTACCAGTTAATTGATTTAACGATCAGTAAATTAATTAAACGATTAGTAAATTGTTTTTTAAATACAATATTTCAACATGTTTTTTTTTTTTTTTATAAAAAAAAAAAAAAGTTAAAATAGAAGATTTTTCTATAAACTGATAAATTGTTTAAACTAAAACTTTTAGTTGATGTATGTACCTGCATGTTCTACTTATTTAAGTCAGTCTATGTATTATACTCCCTGTTCTAGCTATTTAAGGTTAATATCAACGGTATTTTTAAATAAAAATAATTAAATAAAATAAATAATTAAAATAAAAAAATAAAAAAGTAATATCAACGGTATTTTTAAAATAAAAATCTGAAGAATTTTAGTTTTTACTTTTCATAGTAGAATTATTTTGGGTCGTTTTAATCTAATTTTAATTAAAGTTAATAAATCTACCGGTCATTTTTACTGATTTATTTATTTTACTGGCAAAAATAATTAAATTACTGATAAAAATTTATTGGTATCGGAATGAAAAAATATTGATCGTTTTATCAAAAGTAATGATCATTTAATATTATCTGTTTTTACTTCTATGTTCAATCTCTTTTCTCAGATTCTTCCTTCTCATTGGTTTTACAGTCTGGTCTAACCTTTTTTATGTAAATTTTTGCATTTTCACAAATATAAAAATTTGTTATAAATATATAGTTAATAATAATAATATGATATATAAATAATTTCTAATTATAGTTTGATACAAAAATAGTTTTCTATTATTAATAAAAATTATTATTAGTTATTAAACCTTGTTTCCATTTTAATAAAAAAATGTAAACGAAATGTATGCGTTGATTTTATATTAAATACAAAATTTTCTTTGTTTAGGGAATGTTTAGTTCAGAAGATTTTCGATAATTCCTATAAATCTTATTTATTAATTTTTGTATTGATTTTAAAATTTGTACATCAATTAAAAAAATTGTTTTTAATAAATAAATTTCATTGTTTAAAAACGTATTCTTCTTCTAGTGACGTAACTTCTATTCCTCTTCTAGTGACGTAATTTCTACTCCTCTTCTAGTGACGTAACTTCTATTCCTCTTCTAGTGACGTAATTTCTACTCCTCTTTTAAAAATCATCACTAGAATTTGTTTGTATCGTTAAAAAACATCTGTAAAGATAACATGTAATCATCTCATTAAATGCTCTCAATTAACTTGCTCAAGCACGAGATCCCTAAAGCCTTTTTAATATCTAAATATGCTTTAAACATCTAAATATGCTGCCCTATGCCAATCTGCCCTATGCACGTCCTTGTAGAAGCAGGCTATAAGATTGTCGATGTAGCAACACTCCCTTGTAGCAGCAGGATAAAAGATAAAGGATGTAGCAGTACTCCCTTGTAGCAGCAGGATATAAGATAGTCGATGTATGTACTAAAGCCAATAAATTTTCTTTACGTTTTATACATTTATATTAAAAAGTCACCACTTTAAGCAAGTACAACAAGCGAAAAAATAATATTATTTTAGACCGCTAAACTTTAACTTTGCCTAATTTTATTTGCAGTAATCACTTATGTAAGGATTTTTAAAATTTAGAAATAATGTGGTGCAAAAAGTTGCTATCCAGTTTTGGGAAACAAACGAGCTCATTTTTCATAAAAAAATGTTACCTGCCTCTGAGTAGAGTCTCATTTTAAATGTTTCTTAACTTAAAAAGTTAAAAATTATAGGATGCCTAATACAGTAAATATTTCAATTTTAACTTAAATCTAAAAATATAAAACAAAAAAAAAGATTTTTAATATAAGTATTATAAAGATTAAAACTTTCAATAAATAAAATTATAAGAAACAAATAAAAATAACATATTTTTTGTGAATTTAAATGAAATAAAAATCAAATAAATGAAATATTATTTATATGTATATATATATATATATATATATATATATGTATATATATATATATATATATATATATATGTATATATATATATATATATATATATATATATATATATATATATATATATATATATATATCACTGGCGTAGGAACAAGGGGTGGAGGGGGAGATAGCCCCCAAATGAAACACTGGGAAGGTTGGGGCGAAACTCCATTTAGCCCTTTCCCCCCCCCCCCCCTTCCTCATTTTTTAATCAGTTTTTTAAAAATTTTATGATAGCAACAGTGGAACTATCATTTTCCAGTCTGCAATGAACAATTAAACATTACCATGGAAAAGTATCTCCATAAAACTGTTTAAGATACTATCGCATACTAACTATTTTTTAAATGAATTTGTTGGCAAAAGATAACAAATCACGTTAAAAATATGATTAATCAAGTTGCGTGTGATATATAATTGAATAAATAGATCATTTTTATCTATTTTGCTGTATTATACAAAATTGAGGAACTTTTCCCTTTTTTAATATACATTTTCAGCCTCCCCCAACTTTTGCAACCTTCCTACACCACTATATATATAGTAATAATAATAATAATAATAATAATAATAATAATAATAATAATAATTAGAGATTAAAGTACCATTATTTACAACAATCACAATAGCGATGAAGTAATTCAGAAGCACTAAACAAGTAAATTATGAGTTTGAAAAAGAGTTCATAAAAAAGGTCATATCTTAGTCTTTTTTTGAATGTTTCTATAGAAATTGAGTTTCGCGTGTTCAAAGATAAACCATTCCAAATTCGAGGTGCAGTCATACAAAAATATTTTGAGCCCAGGGAGGTTTTTTGTTGACGACGTGTAAGTTGGCAACTGTCTAATGATCTTGTATTTTGTTTTGAAGTTCGGACCTCTACGAGTTCAAATAAATATGCAGGAGATTTTCATAATAAAATTTTATATGTGATAACTGATATTTTATAGATTATTCTTTGATGTATTGGTACCCAATGAAGAGATTTCAGCAATATTTCTGATTTTAAATGGAAAGGAGAATGGAAAACAATACGAGACAATACGATTTTTTTGATAAGTGCCAGATAAAAGGCTTTTACAATAGTCAAGCTGAGAGTTAACCATGTCATAACCAATTATGTTTGCGGCTTCTTTGGTCAGACATGGACGAATCTGGTAATTCCAGAATTTAATAATATTGTTTATGTGCTTGTCCATAGAGAGCTTTGAATCTAGAATGACTCCAAGGATTTTTACTGAATTCATTGTAGTTATTGTGGTTCCGGAAAACGCAATATTTGAATCATTTTTATATTTGCTAGTTTGTTTTCTAGATCCAAATAAAATAGCTTCTGTTTTGTTTGGATTGATCAGAAATCCATTTATTTTCTAGAAACTTTTTCTAGAATATATATATATATATATATATATATATATATATATATATATATATATATATATATATATATATATATATATATATATATATATATATATATATATATAGATTATAGATTATAAATATATATTATGTCGCCACGATGTTGAGGTGCGGGCTTTTACTTTTATTCTTAAAGGTAAAAAATTAGATAAATATTCCGTTCCAGAATTTTTTTTAACAATTCAACAATTCCGAAAAGAGCAACATGGTTTCGTCGGAAACAAATCATGCACCACTAATCTTTTAGAAAACATTGACTACATTTCAGCAAGCTTAAATGTAGGCATTCCAGTTGATGTAATTTTGTTAGATTTTGCTAAAGCTTTCGACACAGGAGACTGTTAGCCAAACTGAAAGCATACGGCTTTGATGGTCTGCTACTTAAGTAGATTGCTGCTTTCTTAGAAAACAGAAGATGAAGTGTTGTTCAAAGTGAAATCATTTCTGACTGGGTTAAGACTTTTAGTGGTGTACCACAAGCTTCAATAATTGCAGCACTTTTATTTGTTTTATACATTATTACGACCTTCCAAAAAAAATTGCTTAATGTAACCAATTATATGCTGATGATACAAAAGTGCTTCCTCAATTATCCTCAGACCAATGCGCTACTATTCTTCAAAATGATCTAGATATTGTTTACAAATGGTCTCAAAATTGGCTTCTTCTGTTTAACATATCAAAATGTGTAGTTATGCATTATGGCCACAATAACCAAAACTATTTATATAATTTAAACAGTATTCAATTAACGGAGTCAGATACAGAAAGAGATCTTGGAGTATTTTTCAATACAAACCTAAAATGGAAAAATCAAATGATTAATGCTTCTAACGAAGCAAATCAAATTCTTGGTCGTATCAAAAAATCATTTGTTTGTTTCAACGTCGTTTGCTTTATATTTGCAGTACCGGAATGGTTTCCGTTTCTTAAATCGGATTGTGGCTATATCGAAAAAATCCAGCACAAAGCTACTAAACTAGAATCATCAATCCGAATTTATGGAACTCTCTGCCAGAAGAAGTTGTTAAATTGCCTTCAGTCAACAGGTTTAAAACAGCAATTGATTGATAGATGAGCAGCAATTGATTATTTCGGCTGTCAAAATACTCTCCCAATTTTCAGCGTTTACTACTAACTAACTATATATATATATATATATATATATATATATATATATATATATATATATATATATATATATATATATATATATATATATATATATATATATATATATATATATATATATATATATATATATATATATATATATATATATATATATATATATATATATATACATATATACATATATATATATATATATATATATATATATATATATATATATATATATATATATATATATATATATATATATATATATATATATATATATATATATATATATATATATAAGATTAGTAAAAGATATGACGAGGAACAGCAATTAGTAAGAAATATAAACAGTATGCATAAATTTATATATCTCCTTTTATATATATCTATATATATACACACTCACACGCATACACATACACACAAAAATTGTTTCTAATATGTTTCACAAAAACACTTAGTTTTGACATTTTTGTTGGTGTTGTACATGCTTTAATTTACTTTTGTATTACTTATAGTGTACCACATAGAGCACCTAAGTCCGAATAAATAAGTTGTTTCGAGACTTACTCATTGATATGAACAGCAAGACTACAAGACATGATATATAGATTTTCAATCAGAAAACTGAATATCTATTTTCCAATCATTACTAATAACACATTTTAAAAAAACTGATGAATTATGTACAGATGAATTAAGCACATGAATTATTATTTTATCTACAGATGTCACAATCTGTACATAAAATAATAATTATGGTGCTTATTTTAAGTATTCTCCAGTAGGTTCTTTGTCTGAGAGTTCTATTGAAGCTAGAAACAAGGAAAGCAAAACTGCACGAGTTAATCAAGCACGAATAACTTTTTTGGCAGAAAACATTAGGGTTACAGCTAATTATTTGTTTGTTACATTTGATAGGTACCTCTATTGAGTGTTTTTTTAAATGTTATGCTATTTTTAATAGTTTTGCTATTTTTGTTAGACTATTTTTGTTAATTTTTTTTTGTGGCAAGGAAATCTCAACACAGTTTATAATAACAATCAAAAGTTTAGTTGTTTTTTGTTTTAAAACAAAATTTAAGAAATAATTAATTAATTTTAACTATACACTAAAAAAAAATGTAGAAATATGTGATATACCTTTTGTAAGGTATAATTTTCATACAGTTTTCTACCTTAAGGGTGTAATTTTCTACCTTAAAAGGTAAAAAATTACTCCTTACTAAAGGTATATCACATTTCCTACCTTAAGTAGAAATTTCTAACTTTTTTTTTAGTGTGTAGTAATTAATTAATCTAGAAAGATCTATATTATGAACTAAAATGTTATACTGATAAGCTGGTCTGCGTTGAATTTAAAAAAAAAAGCGACTTTTTTCATAGCCGCAAGTTATTAAAAACATCTTGTTTACAAGTAATTAAAAACATCAAGTTATTAAAAACATCTTGAACGTTGAGAAACTTTGTAGAAACTAAAGAACAAAGAATCAGATGATTGCAGATCTGTTTATAA